TCCTGCAACAAACCAAAGACGCAATTTTATAGTCAAAGAAACAGGATGCAAAAGAGGCAGGAGCACGCAATTTCGACAGAGGAGGTCAAAGGCGACCCTCCTAGACCAATTCCAATCATTTCCAGCGATTTTTATTTTTTTCATTTTTGGCCAAATTTACAAATTTACATCCTTTGTGTTTTTAGCGAAAATGGGTGGGTCCGGATTTCGACGGAAAAGTAGTCGAATCGACAGGGGTGAACCAGGGGACCACAAAACTACTTTTGGTTCCGTCAGAAACTACCCCTGTCCTCAGAAACTTGAGTTTTAAGGGGTGGTCTTTTGAATCTGGCGGGCAGCGTACGGCGGGCTGCCTACCTTGCAGGGGCGCCCAAGAAAAACGGGCGTAACTCACTTAAAATGGCCCGGCGGCGTGAAATTTCGACGGGGAGATTGAAAGAGGATGCTGTCGGACCAATCCCAACCATTTCGAGCGATTTTAATTTTTTTCATTTTTGGCCAAATTTACAAAGGCTATAGCCTTTGTGTTTTTAGCGAAAATTGATCGGTCCAGATTTCGACGGAAAAGTAGTCGAATCGACAGAAGGGAACGAGGGGACCACAAAACTGCTTTTGGTTCCGTCAGAAACCACCCCTATCCTCAGAAACTTGAGTTTTAAGTGGTGGTATTTTGAACTATGGGCGGGTTGTCTACGTAAGGCGCACAAGCTAGAGTAACAGGAAAAGTGCTCTGCTGTAGTGGGTCGGCTCCATGATATTTACACATAGCAAGTGGAAGGGGAGTCTGCCCACCAATTCAAACCAATTCAGGGAAGAACCAAGGCGCTACAAAAACCATTAAAAACTGAACTTTGATGCACACCAAAGGGAGCTTCTCATGGCGTCTGAACAGAGACAAATTGGACCAGCTTTTGTTACTTTCATGTCAACTCACCAGTACTTTCAGGTAAAAATGACTCCATGGACTTCTATGCTCTTGTCAAGAACATTTCTGGGCCGAGTTCCTGTAATCATATTAAACGGTACTTTTAACGCTCATCAAATATTAATTACATATAATTTACTCACACAATACACTTTTAAATGCCTCCCCCCATACGTATCTAAATGACCATGGTCTTTCAAATAACTAATTTTGGCACTGGACTAAGCATTAAGTACGAAGGGGCAGCTGCAAATTATCTGCAACGCACATTGATTGATTGTTTGGAGGATTACGCAAATAGTACCACTCGGTTTGCACCCGTACCAGAAAGTAATAAAGTTTTCTGTTCCACGAGAAGAGTAAAATATATGTGATAAAATGATATGTGACTAAACACTGACAGTTCACCCATTTGCGTAAGTAACCTTCAACAGTATTTAACATACTGCATGGATTGGAGGAGTCTACCCATTCAACACCTTTTCAACAAAGCTGACAGTGAGTCAAGTTATTTACATCACGGGCATCATTTACTCGGCCTCAAAAAATAACTTACAACTTAATTGTGCGTGTTAACATTGAGCCACAGGAGAACACTAACCTCCTACAACAATAACCGGAATGGGAACAATTCAATATTCCGGACCGGAAACAGTCAAGCACTTTACCTTGCGATTAATATCGAAAAGCGGCGATGTCCACTCTAAAATTCTGGTTAAAATCCTATGATCATCAATTATATGAGTAAGTATTATCGGCATTTGGCAGAAACGCCGATAGTGACACTTATTTTCACTGTTTGTTTACGTTTCCATAACCGCGCGGGAAATGCGCGGTGGGGATGGGGGGGAGGAGAGGGGTAGGGGATGCGGCACGGCAAAGGGGGAGAGCAATAACTAGCTCTAGGCTGGGACTATAATGGTCGAGCAAGTCCTATTTAATTAATTTTACTAGGAACGACTTAAAAAGTCATGTGGCTTCGCCATTTAAGGCCCTGTTATACAGAACTGTAGTGGTTTTATCAGTGCAGTCGTGTAGCATCCATCACCCACACTGGAAACACAAATATGGTACTTGACTTGAACCTTTATGGGTTGCTTACAACTATAATACTTTCCTAGAGGCACCTAAAATTAACATCTCGTGGATGCTGAAATCTATTTAAAATGATAAATTTAATCGCTCCTTGCCTCTGTGTTGTCTTTAAAATGTACTCAATATTTGCACTCTTATATCGTGTAAGATTTGTGTGCCCTGCTATCCAAAAATAACTATGCATACTGTTCAAACTAATCATTTTTATCATTGAGTGTGGAGATAGGTTTAATTAAAGGGAAAAAATTGAAAACTTTCTTTAATTTATTAACTTACGTCAAATATTTTACAGCAAATGCTGAAAAATACATCTCATTCAATGGTGGGCGGATCATTCTCTCTTATGAACCGCACAAACATGCAAACATTACAAACATAAAATTAAAAATGACAGCCGTATGTCAGCAGAAGTTCATTATTTATGACTAGGAGAGATGGTTAACTTCTTCAAAAAGGAGAGAATTCCCTGGAAAAAAAATTAAGAGGCAAAGTGGCAATTAAGGGGAAAGTAAGTGGCATCAAAGTGTCTAAGAGCCCAGGTGGCATTTAAGTGTCATACAAATGGCAATGAAGGTTCTATTTTTGAAGTGGCACTGAGGATACTTTAGAGTGGTTCCCAAGGAGTAATGAAGTGGTGAATATTAAGCGGCACTAGAGTGGTACCGAAGTGCCCACCAAGGGGTGAAGAAGTGCACATTTAAAGCTGTATTTTAAGTGGCATTAAAGTGACACTATGAGTAGAAAGTTAGCTCTCACTGATGAATCACCATGCTAACAGAGCCATAGTCTGGACGCTATTCCAAGACAATTGCCTGCTTCGGAGGCGATGAGTGTACTCACTTGTCAATTTTTGTAAAGTAGGGTTTACGAGCCCCTGCTGGGGACTTGTGGAACTTACACAACCGCAGTCTCAACATTGTGAACAATTTCAACAGCTTTGCCACTTCAGATCCTGAATGCCACTTCTTAGCCACATGCTTACCACTTCAATGTACTTTAAAGGGAAACAATCCACTTAACTGCCACTTAACTAAGTGGCAGCTAAGGGGCAGAGCTGCCACTTACTTGCCCCTTAATTGCCACCCTGCCCCTTAATTTTTTTTCCAGGGTTTGCTCATACATTCACTCAATCACTTGCACTCACAGTCTGCAGAGTCACTCATGTAAAACCAGATACATCATATTAATAATTAGCCATCATTTTATACGTTTGGCCAGCTGGTGAGACAGTACTATAGAACATAACAAAAGGGGTATTAAACTTGTTTTCCACATCAAAATCACACATGGCAGGAACAATTTTAACAACTAGAATTAGTTCCTAAGCTCTTCAGTAATTTATACAAAGACTAACTTTATGTTCCAAAATAATCTCATGCCAATTCATCACAAGAACATGAACAAAAATACTGTACATATAAATCTATTGAACATAAACGTAAAAATCTATGTACAATCTTATATAATTTCATTTTCCCATTTTAAAAAAATATTCAGACCTGACTGAGGGTGTAACAATCAAGCTTTTGGTAAAATATCATTTTAATATTATAAATGAAGAATTTAAATCACCTAGCAGTAACACACACCTCCTAATTACAATGTTTCAGATGCTTCAGAGCATATGTTGGCAAACATCAATCAGGAGATATTGGTGTGCATAGGAATTGGGAGCTGTCATACAAATAGCAAATTGCTCATAAAGAAAAAAATCTTCAGAAATTTGAGTAACATTTAAACAGATACAAATACCAGGATACTCCGAAACCATTTGTGATCACTAGAACCCCTAGAAATTCCATATGGACAATGGCACTTTTCTAAGTGACTTCCGTGTTCACTACCCATACTATGTTTATCACCATAGTTAAGCATCAGAGGAGCTTTGTACTTTCACAGAACCATTGACTTTTGGTACTAAGATTAACAGATTTGTAGAACATTAGAGTAATATTAATCAAGCTATCACTGAAAGGCCAAAGTTATTAATGTTTATGGCACTGTAGTGTCATCTACAGTCTGATAAACTTGAAATTTGCATCTCTTTTCCTTATAGTTTTAGGACAGTGTGCATCCCAAAATGGATTGTCAACAAACAGGAAACCCTTTTCCCTAAGAAATATTTTAATCTCACTCAAGGCATAGAGTAATATACATTCAAAGAAAAACAATCAACCACACTTTTAATAGAATTCAAACTTGAATAAATATCAAGACTAGAGTCCACTATTCAGAGCTTTTCACGTCAGGCCAGGCTGCAGTTATTGGTGTGATAAAAATTTGTTGATAAAACATTAAAATATTGATACTGCCCTTCCTTTTGAGTCTGATCTTATAAAATAAAAATAAAATGACTGCAACTGGTATTTAGCCTGGCTTAACATCACCGCAACACAATCAAACAACAATAACAACAACAATAACAACAACAAACAGATAGTGCATTCACTATCCCTTACACATACTATTTGAGCATTGCTCACATTCTGTCACATCCTGACACTTCAAAATTCTTATATTCTGAAAAATGAGTATCACCCCAAAAAATAAATAAATACTAATTCCTTTTGAAGAGTGCCATTCATACAGGCAAAACAATTTTAACATTGCTATGCATAGAACAAAAATTCTAAAATTAGTGAACTGGGAAGCAGTGCATGTCAAGTTCATGGAATGTGTACTCTCCAATTTCAGCTTGACACACTTATTGTGACCAGCTCCATACACTCAACTGCTTATAACAAAGATTTCAAGAAATCTATAGTTAACAAAGATCATCGTGTTCAAGTGAAAAATATAGTCATTCTCTAATGTGCTAAGGCCTATATTTTTTATTAATGTCTTTGCATTTCCTCACGAGAGGAGAGAATTGCGTCAAATATCTTGCTCACTTTTTGCTCGGGAACTGTTCTCTTTTTGAAGTTCTCTAGCAAGCTCCTAGACTTGAATGTTAGCCTTTAAGCATATTTACAGATAGAATCTGGTTGCCTTCTCCAATCATGTGAACGAGGACTGAACAATTTGGAATCTGAATTCATTTCTGCTGCTTACAAACTCCAATTTTTAAAATTTCATCTTGCTAGCATTCTTTCATTTACAATAAATAATTAAACATAAGGTAAATAAATAGTGAAACACAGTTCCTCTTCCATCACATAAATTTTCTCATCATGTATCACAAACTTGAAACTTGACTTATTTTTTCCAAATTCACTCCATTGATAACAGACCTCTCAATGCATTAGGAAAAGTTACAGATGTGAAGTGTGCCCAGACAGTTCATAAAATAAAACATATGCTTCACTGGACACAATACTGCGTGATGCAATACTGGAAACTCTGTAGACAGAGGAAAGAGTTGTTACAACATATTGATATAAGCTAAATCAAAACTGAGTACAAATTAAAACCTACCTTGAGTCATTGTATTCATGCCATTCATGTGTATATGGATGTCTGCAATAGGCAGTGTAATGACCAGAGTAGGTTGTTCCGGAGTGGTTGGCAACACCATATAGATTGTAAGTGCATCCTCGCCCACGGTTTGCCGGGTTTGCAGCGTAAGCACTGAGGTCAAGGCCAGTCAAAGGAAACTCAACTGTGCAACTGAGTTTTCCCCGGAAACGTTCCATTGGAGAAAAACGCTTTAAATCTAAGATTCTGTTAAGGAAATCATTGGGAGTGGTGTAGAGAGCATATTAGTGAGACAATTCAAGGAGTTATTTAAATACTAGAATAATAGAAGAAAAGACAGTAAATTCTGGTGATTGAAAGGATACGAATTACAAGAGTCTTTG